GAGAGAGAGAGAGAGAGAGAGAGAGAGAGAGAGAGAGAGAGAGAGAGAGAGAGAGAGCAAAACCACGATGTGCACGACCGACGGACCACATCCCGCAAATGTCAAGCCACAGAGGCCGCGCAGGCCTCGCATGCTGAAACACAGAGGCCCAAATCCATGGAAACCAACCGAGGGCACAACAGAAAGATTGCACCATCGCCAAGTTTCTGATATGCCCCGGTAGCACCTCTCCCGGGGCCAGGGAAAGACTGCGAGTGTCAAAAACGGCAACAGGGGCTCGCTGGAAAGATGGACGGGAAACTTTTCTGCTGATTCTAAACGGTCAGCCAGTAGGGGCATACTGCAAATTTGGTATCGGTACCGGTAGGGGCATATGAAACATGTTTCAGGACCAACCGACGCCAGGTGCTTTATGGAAACATCGTCCGTCGTCAAAGGGGCACGACAAGGTAAGTCGGCCGTCAGAAGGGTTCGCCGCTAATAAACGCAAACTTCAGGGGCATTTCGAAAATTTTCCCTTTTTTTTTCTTTTTTTTCTTGCAGGGGGGGGAAAGGAGATTTTGCGAAGGAAATCTGTTGTCACTTCGTTATCACCATGCTGTGTCTGGAGCCGGGACCCACTAGCATCCCTTAGGCAGTTTGGTTTTCAACCAGGTGCGGCGAGAGGTGACATCCCGCGACCGTTGATCCTTTTGTGTATCTTCTGGGACAGATTTCGTGGAGGTATCTGTCCGCGGGCCAATAGAAGAGTTCCGTTTTTTTCATTTCTTTGTCCATTGTCCATTTAGCATGCAATCTTGCTGGATCGTTTGTGCGTGTGTCTGGGGGTTGAGGTGGTGGGGAGGAGGGCGTCGCGTGCGTGTTAGGCATGCTTGTTTGACATCATGATCTCGGTCCTGTTGTGGCAGAGCCCATAGTGTTATGGCGGAAGACCACATCGTCGCCCGTATTGCAGCTGCTGCTGGACTGCTCAATGTCCATTGAAGCAGAGTTTAAAACTTGAATCCAGGGCAGGATAGCCCAGTAGGCCTCTGTTTCAAGGGAAGGAAGTGTGGCCAAGGGGTTCGCAGTGTGTGAAGATTCATGCCAATTCCAGTCGACAGGAGTAGCTATGGCATCACGTTCGCGCACGTGTGGCCTTGCACTGTGGGCAGTTGTTGTAGCGACATTGTTTTTGGCCAGTGTCTTCGCTGAACCAGTGGCACTCGGTGACAAGAACTTCGATGAGCAGGTCAAGGCAGATGGGAAGCTATGGTTCATCAAGTTCTTTGCGCCTTGGTGTGGCCATTGCATGAGGCTGGCCCCAGGTTGGAAAGATCTCTCCCAGATCCTAGCGGAAGATCCGATCATAAGAATTGCCCATGTGGACTGCACAACGGACAAAGACACGTGCACCAAGCACGGCATCAGGGGCTATCCCACCATGAAGGTTTTCTACAACGGAGAGTTCCTTGAAGGTTACAATGGTGATCGTGATGTCGAGTCGTTGAAAAAGTTCATCTTGGGAAAGGCTGAGGCGACTCGGCAGCACCCAAAGGATCCCGATCAAGAGCAGGAGAGGCCGGAGGAGGTGGAGAAGGTGGGGAAGCCGGGGGAAAATGCTGCAGCAGTGGTGGCTCCGACAAGTGGGCCAGTGGTACTCGGTGACAAGAACTTTGATGATGAGGTGAAGACTGATGACGACACTGTATGGTTCATCAAGTTCTTTGCACCTTGGTGTGGGTACTGCCAGGAGTTGGCTCCGGTTTGGAAAGATCTCTCTCAGGTCCTCGCCGACGATCCAAATATCAGAATCGCCCTCGTCGACTGCACTGTCGAGAAAAGCACGTGCGCCAAGCATAACATTAAAGGCTACCCAACAATCAGCGTCTTTCACAGAGGTGCGTTTGTCGAGTATTATGAAGGCGAACACGGTGTCGAGGACTTGAAAACATTCATCTTGGACTTTGCAAGCGAGGTGTCCGGGAACAGGCCTGAGGAACATGCGGCGGCGGCAGGAGCTGAAGCTGGCACGCCAATCGCGCTCAGCAGCGAAAACTTCGACGAGCTGGTGAAGGATGATGGTAAGGTGTGGCTTATAAAGTTCTTCGTATCTTGGTGTGATTACTGCCAGGAGATGGCTCCAGTTTGGAAAGAACTCTCTCAAGCATTTGTTGATGATGCCAATGTGCGTATTGCCCATGTGGACTGCACCGTAGAGAACGACCTCTGCACCAAGCACGACATTAAAGGCTACCCAACATTGAGTGTCTTTCACAGAGGTGCGTTCCGCGAGTATTATGAAGGCGAACACAGTGTYGAGGACTTGAAAAGCTTTGTCTTGGACCTTGCGAAGGAGGTGTCCGGGAACAAGCCTGAGGAACATGCGGTGGCAGSAGCTGAAGCTGGAACGCCAATCGTGCTCGGCAGCAAAAACTTCGACGAGCAGGTGAAGGCTGRTGGTAAGGTGTGGTTTGTAAAGTTCTTTGCACCTTGGTGCGGTTTCTGCCAGGTGTTGGCTCCAGTTTGGGAAGAACTCTCTCAAGCATTTGTTGATGATGCCWYTGTGCGTATTGCCCAYGTGGACTGCACCGTCGAGAGGGACCTCTGCACCAAGYATGAMATCAAAGGCTACCCAACAATGAGTGTCTTTCACAACGGTAGATTCTTGAAGGAGTACGAGGGTGGTGGAGACCTYGAGGCATTGAAAACCTTTGTCTCGAGTGCCGCTCTGGAGGCAAGCGGGGAGGAGAAACCAGAGGAATCTGCAGTGGTGGAGGCTGAAGATGGCATGCCGGTCGTACTCGGCAGCAGCAATTTCGATGACGAGGTGAAGGCTGATGGAACGGTCTGGTTTGTCAAATACTTTGCACCTTGGTGTGGATTCTGCATGGACATGGCTCCAGCTTGGAAACAGCTATCCCAAGCATTTGCTGAGGATGCCACAGTGAGAATCGCCGAGGTGGACTGCACGGTGCAGAAGGAAATATGCACCAAGCATGGCATCAAGGGCTATCCCACGATCAACGTCATCCACAACGGCAAATTCTTGAAGGAGTACGAGGGTGACACAGATTTCGAGTCCTTGAAGGGCTTCGTCTTGGCTGCTGTGGAGGACGTGAAGACGGAGAATCATCCTGAGGCAACAGGAAAGGTCGAGGACGGTGAGGCCAGCGGACCAGTTGTGCTAGGCGACTCGAGTTTCAACAAGCAGGTCAAGGCGGATGGCAAAGTATGGTTCGTGAAGTTCTTTGCACCATGGTGTGGCCACTGCAAGAGGTTGGCTCCAGCTTGGAAAGAGCTAGCTCAAGCCTTGGCGGATGATGACACTGTGAGAATTGCCCATGTCGACTGCACGGCGGAGAAGGATACCTGCACCAAGCATGAAGTCAAGGGCTACCCGTCAATGAAGGTGTTTCACAATGGGCAGTTCGTGAAACAGTACAGAGGTGCTCGCGACGTCGAGTCACTTAAAGAATTCATCTTGGACATTGCCAAGGAGGTGGAGGACAAGGAGCCTCAAGAAACTGCAGAAGTGGAAGAAGCCAAAGGAAAGGGGCCGCTTGTGCTGAGGGACAGCAGTTTTGATGAGAATGTCAAAGCTGATGGGAAAGTATGGTTCATAAAGTTCTTTGCACCTTGGTGTGGACACTGCAAGACGTTGGCTCCAGCTTGGGAAGAGCTCTCTCAGTCTTTGGCTGATCATGCCACTGTAAGGATCGCCCACGTGGACTGCACTGCTGAGAAGGAGACTTGCAAGAAGTACCAAATCGGAGGCTATCCAACAATGAACGTCTTCTACAACGGCAAAGTTGTAAAGGAATACAGTGGGAATAGGGATGTTACATCCTTGAAGTCTTTTGTCCTAGGCGTCGCTGAGGAGGTAAATCAGGAGAAAAAGCCTGAGGAAACTGTGACAGAAAAGGAAGGTGAGGCTGGGGGCCCATTCGTACTAGGTGACAAGAGTTTTGATGAGCAGGTGAAGGCAGACGGCAAGGTATGGTTCATAAAGTTCTTTGCACCTTGGTGTGGACACTGCAAGACGTTGGCTCCCGCTTGGAAAGAGCTCTCTCAGTCTTTGGCTGATCATGCCACTGTAAGGATCGCCCACGTGGACTGCACTGCTGAGAAGGAGACTTGCAAGAAGTACGAAATCAGAGGCTATCCGACAATGAGCGTCTTCTACAATGGCAAAGTTGTGAAGGAATACAGTGGGAATAGGGATGTTACGTCCTTGAAGTCTTTTGTCCTAGGCGTCGCTGAGGACGTAAAGCAGGAGAAAAAGCCTGAGGAAACTGTGACAGAAAAGGAAGGTGAGGCCGGGAGCCCAGTCGTACTTGGTGACAAGACTTTTGATGAGAATGTTAAGGCTGATGGGAAAGTATGGTTCGTAAAGTTCTTTGCACCTTGGTGTGGTCACTGCGAGACGTTGGCTCCAGCTTGGAGAGAGCTGTCTCAGAATTTGGCTGAGCATCCCACTGTAAGGATCGCCCATGTCGACTGCACTGCTCACAAGGACACTTGCATGAAGTACGGAGCCAGCTGCTATCCAACAATGAAGGTGTTCTATGACGGCAAAGTTCTGAAGCAATACAGTGGGGAGAGGGATGTTACGTCCCTGAAGTCTTTTGTCTTAGGCGTTGCTGAGGAGGTGAAGCAGGAGAAAAAGCCTGAGGGAGGTGATTCAGGTGAGGCTGGGGCCCCAGTTGTACTAGGTGACACGAGTTTTGATGAGCAGGTGAAGGCAGACGGCAAGGTATGGTTCATAAAGTTCTTTGCACC